TGCCTGAGGATCTGCTGGTGCCCCAGCTCTGGCAGGAACTTGTATCTCCAACCTAATTATCAAAGCAGCAGCACCCTTTGAGCATGCATAGCCAGGTGGCACTTTGTGATACCCTGTGGCCATGTGACACTCCCACCAGCAGATCTAGAGAGCAGGCTTCATGCATGAGGGAAACAGAGGCCCAGAGAAGAAACTGCCTAAGCCAGCAATGTCTGTGGCTACCTCCTCCAGAGGAGGGTAAAGCTCAAGCACCAGCATCTCTCTGGGGATGGTAGGGCTGTGGCAGAGGGAGGAAACATGCATGCTGGACCTTGCAGAGCCCATATGGCTACCCAGGTTTCCCACTGCAAGAAAAGCTGTGCTGACCTATGCCTTTCCCACTTACTTCAGTAACTTGGGCTGAAGCAGGCGCTGCAGGCGGTCACTCACCACTGACTTTCGGAGCAAAGCTTTCTCCCAGTGCTTCCCTGCAGAGGAGCAACACCATGGCAGTCTCACACACTCCCCAGGACCCAATGCAACCCTGGGCATCACTACGGGTCCCACCTCCAAAGGAGGAAGCTGTGCTGAGGCTCTGTGGATGCCAGTCAAGCAGTGAGATGCAACCCAGATGCCAGCCCCTCTTGTCTAGCAAAGGACCTCACCTGAGCCCTACCCCAAGTTCACAGCAGGTCTGACAGGGCTGACCATTTCCAGCCAGGGCAGGATGAGTGGGGTTTGGGGTGGTCGCCATCTGCCCCCGTGACAGGTTTTTTGGAAAAGAACCAACCCAGCAAGAGAAAGGCAAGAGGTCAAGTGGCCAGTCCCAGTGTTCAAAGCCTGAGGGAGCACATAAGGCCACAGGACAAATAGGCCTAGGAGAGGCAGGGCCATGGGAAAGGCCTCCTGGGTCCCCACACTCAGAGAACTGGCTGGGCTGGGCTCTTACACTTGGTCACCAGGAGCTCCTCGAAAGCCTTGATTCCCTGAGCAGCCTTCTCTCGTGTCTCTTCATTGGCAGGAGGCCCCTGTCAGAGCGCATGGTGTCACCATGTGGCAGACCAGGCTGCATTCACCTGCAGGGTCTAGCACACACCTCCAAGGCCCAGGCTGGGACTCAAGTCATTTCGTCCCAGCCTGCTCATGTGCCTGCTCACATGCAGACCAGACACTAGACCTCTGCAGCCAGAGCTGACAGCTGGGTATGAGCCAACTGGCACAGTGGGGGGACTCAGTGACTCCATGAGGGCTGACAAGGAGCCCAGGCCTGCTAAGAGCAACACTGGGACCTCCACATGGAAGACTTCCTAATTGCCCATGGTGCCACTTCAGGGAAATAGGCCCCTGATGATTTGCCTACTCAGGAAGAAGACCTTGACTTTCATAAGATAAAGAAAAGTTTTGAGGAAGTTGGATCACATCATCCTGAAGGGCCAAAGGGAACTTAAGACCACTCACAGCAGACTGTGGAGATGAGAGCCCCTCCCCATAGGGTGCTGAGCCCTGCCAACAAGAAGCAGGGCCTCACTCACTCACCACTCCAGTGACCCTGTCTTTGAAGTACGGTTTCATGAAGTGACCGATGTACATGTTTGGGGGTAGGCTCTTGCCGTCCTTCACCCTGGGGCCTCTGGACCCAGCCAGATCCCATAAGATCTCCTCCTGGGACATAAACAAGGCCAACTGCAGGCCATGTGGGGACAAACAGGGGAGGTGGCTGGGGAGCAGACCAACCAAAACCCTGTCCTAGGAGCATCGTTGTGCAGACTCTCAGGATCAGGGGGGTCAGCATGCATGGGCATCCCTACCTGTTGCTCCCTGTTCTGGGCCAAAAGCAAGCTGACCTCTGCCAGCTTCTCTTGGATGACCTCCTGATAGACCATGTTCAGCTGTAGACAAGTCTCAGGGTCTTCAGGGAGGGTTTTATCCTTGGGGTCTTCCTCATCATTGCTGGCCTCACCCCACCTTTCTTCTTCCTAGTTAGGAACCAGAAACAGGAAATGAAGAAATAAGATATAGGGGTATTTCCCCTCCCCACAGCCCTCGACACCTGGGACGTGGAGACAACTCCAGTGCAACATCACCAAATGTGGACCCAAGAGGTGACTCAGGTGAGTGGCAGGGCATGTCTGTGGGAATCCCCAACCACTATTCCTGATCCACAACAAAGGGAGATCCAATTGTTTGAAGTAGGGCCATTGTGAGAAAATAAGTAGCTTCCAATTACTAAAAGAAAGGTTCCTGTGAACACTGAACTTCACGCTAGCTCATGTTGCTTCTCTCTCTATACCACCTGCTACAGGTTATGAGGAGGAAATTGTCTGCAGAGCATCACAGCCCAGAGCTGAAGACACCAATGCACCCACCAGGGGGCGATGGTCCAAAGCCCTCAGGACTGTGTCCTCTGCCTGAGGAGTGCCAATACAGCCCTCGAACATACAAGAGGACTTTACCTATGAACCTGAGAAAATAAGCAAACTGCAATAATTTCCTAAAGTAAAACTCCAAAATAGACACAAAATGATTAATAACAACTGACAAACCTAGGGGTTTACTAGGCGCTGTTCTAGATGCTCATCTTTGCTCAAGCAATCCCATTATTCAGATTGGTAAACTAAGACAAAGCAGACAAGCTGTGGGGGCAGTCAGGTGCATGATGTGGAGAAACAAAGTTAGCATTTTATCTCCTTTGTTATTTTCTCCCTTGCAGCGTCTATATCTATGACTTCTGCCTGCTCCACAATACATTATGAGGTGTTAAATAAAAACCAACAACGCTTGTAATCCCAGCAGCTCAGGAAAAAGGCTGAAGGCACAGCCACTAAGCTTTTAACAGTGGCTGTTTCTGGGAACAATTTTTAATTTTAACAACAAATACTCTCTGATGTTTTGTTTTCATAACATGTACTAATTTTACAATGCAAAATAAACAAGGGCGAGTAGCAGTTACCAGGATTGGGGGGTCAACAGCTTCCAAGTCTTCACTGGGCAGTGAATCTGTTGGAAACAAATACACTGTACTGGAGGGTGATGATGGAAATGATGGGAACGGAAAGTGGTCCCTCTAGAGGACTGTGGGAGAGCCCATAGAAGAGATCCTGGATGTCTATGCGACAGTCAGCTCTGGGCCCACCCTCTCTTCCCAGGACAGCATGCTTACCCAGAGGGCCCTAGAGCCTCAGGCCAGAGGGCAGCAAAGATGGGGTACCAGCAGGCCCATGGGCTAGTTAGCAACAAAGGACTGGGATTAACTCTCTGGCTGGGGAAAAGGCAGAGGCTATTCTGGGCAGGAAATAGGACCTGGTCATGCAGCATGAGGCTGAAAAGAACCTGGAGGGTGCACACGCTTTCAGTCACACTCTAGGATGGCTAGGCTTACCTGCATCGGAATCCGAATCAAGACTTGATTCTGAAACCTCCACATGGATGTTGGAGGTGCTGGGATCCAAAATCCTTTCCAGCTCCTTTATCTCCTTTGTTATTTTCTCCCTTTCAGCATCTACATCCATGACTTCTGCCTGCTCCACAATACATTATGAGGTGTTAAAAACCAACAACACTTGTAATCCCAGCGGCTCAGGAAGCTGAATCAAGAAGATCACAAGTTCAAAGCCAGCCTCAGTAACTTAGTGAGGCACTAAGCAACTCAGTGAGACCCTGTATCTAAGTAAAATACACACACACAAAGGTTGGGGGGCAGGGGCTAGAGATATGTCTCAGTGGTTAAGTGCCCCTGAGTTAAATCCATGGTA